TCATCACTCTGCGCCCCTCGGGGACTCATGCATGCAGGTCTAGATTCATTTGTCAGTGCGATCACTTATCATTTCATTCCGTTCTACATCCCCGTCTTGTGTTTTCCATTTCATTTCAGTTGATGTCGTCATCACTTGAAACCCCGTTGAATCATTAAAAGTTCATTGATGTTATCCGACAAGTGATGAGTCATTCTTTACATCTAGAGCTAGATCTAGATTCTAGATCTAGTACTGGCGTTTCAAATAGCACAGGAGCTATTCAGAACGCAACGTTGCAAATAGCGCTTGCCTACAATAAATCGTCAGGTGTAAACCACAAAATTGTACAAAAAATTTGGACGATTGAACGATGGTTTGGACACTCGGTCGAGAAATAAAGCGCTGCTCAATATTTTTCATGCAATTACTGTCACACTTGAGGGAGACGCGGTGTGACGTAGATTCACTTTGAAATTTGCCGTCGCACAGAATTAAACTCAGAGCTAAAAATTTTTTAAATAATTATCGTAGGTAAAAACTGATTTCATATTCGGAATCAGCGTCTCAAAATAAGCACAGCTGTTCGCGAAGAACTTGATTTGGAGCGTTATTGTGTATATTTTACTATTTAGCAATTTTATTATTTAGTTGACTGTCAATGGTGAAGTGCATCAAGGTCACTCGGTGCGTTGCACGTCTGCAGTCAAGTCAAAGTCAAAGCTTCTCTTTCTCCACACAACACGGTACAGTATGGCCAACCCTTTCTAAAGATAAGACACTGTTCTGCTGTATCAGAATGTACAGGGGAAGGGGGAGGGGGGCTCTCGTGATCTAGAGGTACAGTGTTCGCCTTTCATTCATTCATTAGGCAGGTCCAGAGCTCAAAACCTTCACTAAAATCTAGAATCTATGCTTCCCAGGCAAATCGCTGTCTTCGCAATGAGACATGGTGAATGATGGTGGCTTCAATTTGTGACGAGGAATCTCCTCGACCTAAAGAAAACTGGACGATGGATTGGAACGTGTAAACAGACAACACAGTTCGATAAAACGGACAGTCCTCTCATACGATGAATTTGATACAATTTATCGTTGCGTGTAACAGGGGCTTTAGACTTTGCAGTCTAACCGTGTAGATTCTACAATCTAAGTCTAAGGCAAGGTAAGACGGTAAGAAGACAACCTAAAGTTTACAAAGCCACACAGAGTCACAAACCTTTGTCAGTTTCGTTCTGTCGATATTTTCTTATATCCGTCGATACAGCCACTTAAATTTACAAACTGGTTAAACAGAAAACAATGTGCCCAACACCAGGGCTGGAAATAAGTCAGTAGCCCAGCCTAGGTCGTCTCGTGGTGTTATGATTTCGCCGCAGCAGAAGTGACACGGCGGAAGTGAAGTTGGTCTCGGGTTGCTAAGCACTAAGCAGGCACCACTGAATTGATCACATGACTCTGAGATCATGTGACTTCTGTGCACTAAAAAGTTTCTTCAATATGTCAACCAAAAAGAAACAACTAGATCTAACCCC